CCAAGGATGGAAATGGTAACACGTGTGGGTGTTACTTTATGAAAGGGTTTACCGTTCGATGAGGACATCGAACTTCGTCTATGGGTGGTGGAGTTGTGAGACACAAAATCCCTAGGCCCCAAAGTGGAGCCGGAAAGGGTGCCACGTGGTAGTGGCTGAAGCGAGAGCCAAACGAGCGTAACACGTTTGGACCAAAAGCTCCGACTTGAAAAGTCAAGAGCGGGAGTGGAACTCCCAATGAAGTGCTCGAGGAACGAGCACGAAGCGAGCAAAAGGCGAGGCTCCAAAAAGGGACCCGAGTTGGAGTCCAAAGTGGAGTCCGAGATGGACTCGAGTTGGAGTCCGAAGTGGAGTCCGAGATGGACCCGAGTTGGAGTCCAAAGTGGAGTCCGAGATGGACCCGAGTTGGAGTCCGAAGTGGAGTCCGAGATGGACCCGAGTTGGAGTCCAAAGTGGAGTCCGAGATGGACCCGAGTTGGAGTCCGAAGTAGAGTCCGAGATGGACCCGAGATGGAGTCCGAGATGGCGTCCGAAGTGGAGTCCGAGGTGGACCCGAGATGGACCCGAGTTGGAGTCCGAAGTGGAGTCCGAGGTGGACCCGAGATGGACCCAAGTTGGAGTCCGAAGTGGAGTCCGAGATGGACCCGAGATGGAGTCCGAGATGGAGTCCGAGATGGAGTCCGAGGTGGACCCGAGATGGACCCGAAATGGAGTCCGAGATGGAGTCCGAGATGGACCCGAGATGGAGTCCGAGATGGAGTCCGAGATGGACCTGAGATGGACCCGAGATGGAGTCCGAGATGGAGTCCGAAGTCGAGACCGAGACTGAGACCGGGACCGAGACCGGGACTGAGACCGAGACCAAGACCGAGATCGGGACCGAGACCGAGACCGAGGCCGAGGCCGAGACCAAGCCCGAGCCCGAGTCCGAGTCCGAATCCGAGTCCGAGTCCGAGTCCGAGTCCGAGTCCGAGTCCGAGTCCGGAGCCTGAGAGGGTGAAAGCCCAAAGCGTTCGTCTCCCAGACCCTGGGGGGTTTGGTGAGCTCCAAAAGTATAGTAGGGGGAGGACTGCAGTGGAGCCAGTTTGGCCAGGAAAGGCCAGTTTGGCCCAGGAAGGCCGGACCCAGTGTTGGGTGATGAGCTGCCCACTGGGAAGTCCAAGACTAGGGTGAACACGGACCGACAAGCGGGGTAGCTTGGTGAAGTGTTCAAGAGCCGGCTCTAGTTCCCCCGGGAGATCGACTGGCCGATGCTCCCAGTCCAAGTGTGGGTGGCACTACCTACTTGGATACCAGGCGTGGCTCAACGGAACCTCGCTCTAAGCCCATGGCTAGAGCACCTAAAGGCGATAGGTGGGGAGAGTACCCAGGTGGCTCGCGTAAGGCCACGGTGTTCCGAAATGTCGTCCCAAAGGCCCAGACTGTGGAAAGGAAGAGGAGCAGTCCTCTGGGGTAGTGACCAAGGACACAGTCGTGTGGTGAGGAAGTCCCAGAGGATTGTGGGACTTAGTGGTCGGGCCTGTGGGTCTCGATCCAGTGGCAGTGTTGGCAAACACGACCAGGGGCAGAAAGGGACTTAGTGGGGACTGACAGAGGGATATTGGGGAAGGCTATTCCCCTTGTCGGTGGGCATCCTAAGGATGCTAAGGAGTGGATTTGAGATGACCACTCACGGATGGTTTGCCTAGTCTTGGGGAGCCAAGACTGTGATGCAAGTGGTATTGGACTACCAGTGTGGCAAAGGTGATTGGGCATGGCCTTAGCGTAACGGGTTGCTATGTCGGTGGTACCTTTGAGTGTCGGTCATGGGATCGGACACATGGAGCACTTGGACCAAGTGCAAATGTTGAGTGGCATGGATGCCATTCTCGGGGCTAGCAAGTCCCAAGTCCTGGATTGGACTTATGGAGGTTGTGAATGAGACTCCTCCAAGTGGTCAAAGGTGTGGTTAAGTGACTAAAGTAGAATGGAAAATTTAGTCGCTTACATGTTGTCCCAAAGGCCCAGACTGTGGAAAGGAAGAGGAGCAGTCCTCTAGGGTAGTGACCAAGGACATAGTCGTGGGGAGAGGAAGTCCCAGAGGACCGTGGGACTTAGTGGTTGGGCCGGTGGGCCTCAATCCAGTGGCAGTGTTGGCAAACACAGCCAGGGGCAGAAAGGGACTTAGTGGGGACTGACAGAGGGATATTGGGGAAGGCTGTTCCCCTTATCGGTGGGCATCTTAAGGATGCTAAGGAGTGGATCTGAGATGACCACTCACGAATGGTTTGCCTAGTCTTGGAGAGCCAAGATTGTGATGCAAGTGGTATTGGACTACCAGTGTGGCAAAGGTGATTAAGCATGGCCTTAGCGTAACAGGCTATTATATTGGTGGTACCTTTGAGTGTCGGTCATGGGATCGGACACGTGGAGCACTTGGACTAGGTGCAAGGGTTGAGTGGCATGGATGCCATTCTTGGGGCTAGCAAGTCCCAAGTCCTGGATTGGACTTATGGAGGTTGTGAATGAGACTCCTCCAAGTGGTCGGAGGTGTGGTTAAGTGACTAAAGTAGAATGGAAAATTTAGTCGCTTACAATAAGTTCGATTCCCATTGATTAATAGCTACTTAAAAATATAATATACCCTTGAGCAAGGTATATTTCTACCCCTAAATTTAAAATTATACATATTAAGCATCTATACGTATGTCCTTCCTCTTGTGTGGAGTATCCATGGATGAAGGAATCTACCGTGGGACTGCAGTACAGATAGATGATTAATTGCCTCACATGGAATAGTTAATCTACACAATGGAAAAATTGGTAGATTTTGTGCAGAAATGAAGGTGTTAGTTCCCTTTGGCTCAGTAGGGGTTGTTAGTTAATAGTCTATAAGAACATTGACATCTCTGAAAGGGGGGTGTAGTGTATGTGATCATGGGATGAGATTTGGATATACTGTCACTGTGAAGCTTTGGAACTTTAGGGGATAAATGGGGATAAAATAGCCACTAAGGGCTCTCTCATCAAACAATTGCCCCTTTTCCAATTGGCTTAAGGGGAAAGAGATAAAGTGCGTTATAGAGGGTAAGTATAGCACATGTGATCATGGGATGAAATTTAGATATACTTTCACCGTGGATTCTTGGAATTTTGAGGGATAAATGGGGATAAAATAGCCACTAAGGGCTTTTTTATCAAGCAATTGCCCCTTTTCCAGTTGCCTTAAGGGAAGAGAGATAGAGTGCGCTACAATTTAGCTAAGAAGATTCTAGTATATTTTTTATTATTCCTAATATTTCTTATTAACTAAGGAACTTTATATTAAGGGTAATATTCATTATTAACTAAGGCTTCAAGTGATAAAATAATATCAAATTCAGTCAAGCTAAATAAATCATGACTTAGATTATTACTAGAAGAAAATTTTAAATTATGGAATATCATTGGTTTATTTTTATTAATATAAAATCACGTTCTTATAGTAAACAATAATAGTTAAAATTTCTGATTGCAGGTTTTGGAGGGATGTATTCCAAAGGGAAATGGGTGGCCTGACAAAAAAATGTATTACCATGCAAAATTTATGATATTAAAACATATGTATATTCAAATTGTTGTAACATATATGTGTGACTTAAAAAATAATTTTTTCAGCATAACATTTTTTCAAGGCATGTATATATTAGATTTATTCACATATAAAATTTCAATCCACATCACTTTATTGCCATATCAGCATCCTCTTCATTTTTAAGTTTGGCAAAAATTGCAATAAGATGATTAATCTATCAACTTGGTGACTAAAAGCCCACCTAAAATAAATGTCATGCCAAAAAAGTGTTGGCTATAAAACTCTATGCTATAGATGATGTTCACTACCCATTATACTGATGTTATTATTGCATTAGAGCTCTCAATTATGTCCTGGGGCATTATGGGTGTTAATTTAGAGTCTATTATTAAACTTTTATAGTTTTTCCATGTTAGCATGTGAATTCCATATTATCAAAGAGTGATGACTAATCTCTACCTCAGAATTACAAATGCCACATCATGGCACTCAAGGTCTTGACCAAAAACCATGCCAAACTTTTTAAGCCACTAAATGTAGCCAATTGCAACCGTTGATTGCAGAATAACCTGGTAAATATCAATTTCTTCCTACTGAAATATTTTTGCAAGGTTTGGGCCGGCCAGTGGTGTGAGTGACACCTGTCTGCTTGTGCATCCCGCCCATGAGCTCCCGGGTTTGTGGAGAAGCAGAGCCGGCTACTGACCAGCAGCAACAAGGAGAGGGGATTGTGAGCAGCAGGCTGGCAATGACATTGGAGGTGGAGGAGGAAGCTATGTGCTCAAAACATAGCTTGGGGAGGAGGATGTGTCCAGGGTTTGGGAATGCAAGCGAGGAGCTTGATGATCACTGGGAGTTTCTTCAAGCAAGTTTTTCTTCCTCAACAAGAAGAGGTGATCATAAAAAGAGAGGCAGCAACAGGGATCTTTGTGGGATCTTTGTGGCATGGGGATGTTCGTGGTGGTCAGTGGCCACCCAGCACCAGAGATGGAGACCCAAGAGCTCCAGGGTTTGTGGAGAAGCGGGAGAGGAGCGACCAACATGGCGGGGAAGCTGTAAGTTAGTTCTTTCTCCTCTTTGTAGAGATGCTTGAGAGTGCTTTAGCCACAGCATGTAGCTCTTTAGAGACTGGTGGTCTAAGTGTTTGTTTTCTATTGGCCTTACAGATTGGAGTGGGGTCATGGAGCAGGTTGTGTAACTGGAATCACTCCTTGCATAACCTTTGGACGCCTGGCCGAGACCGTGTATAACAATCTAAAATGTAAGCTCTTGAGTTTTCTTCCTTGCTTCTTGCTTTCTTAACGCGAGTTTAGTTTTCTCAACCTGACTGTTTAACAGGTATGTACTTGAATATTAATTTGAATAACTATTGTTTCATGGTCTTGATCGATACTTCTAGTAGTTTCGGGTAGTTTTTCGTCGACGTCTTTTTGCTGGGGCGTGTCAGCGTTGGCACGGCTCTTTTAGGGTTCATTGGGGTGCAAGGGAGGCACCAATGGATTTCGAGCTCAAGGCCGCCAAGGCCAAATGGGAGAGGGAGCAAGCGGAGAAGAAAGAGAGGGCTAGGGCGCGGCTGGAGAGGGAGCGGAGAGCTCGCGAGGCGGCGGCTAGGCAGCACGAGGCGATCGAGGAAGCTCGGCGCCGGGCCCGGATCGAAGCGGCGGAAGCTGCGCTTGCGGTAAGTCCTCTTCTTGATCTCTTCGGATTTCTCATTGCGATCGATGCCTGGTACTAGGCCCAGCGGCAAGACGAGGAGGATCGAGAATTGGGGGATGGGGTTCGATACAGCAGGGTTCTTCGAGCTTTCAAGATTCCTGGCGATGGCGACAAGATCACGCTGCCTGCCGCGGATTTTGAGGTACTGGCGTCCCAGAATGCCATCGACAAGGGCCCGATGTTCTTCGAGATTTCGAACAATGCGAGTTCCAGCCAGATCGCGACGACGCACGGCGGGGTTTTGGAATTCACCGCGGAGGAGGGATTCGTGGGGCTGCCTTGGCACGTCTGGAGCAACGCGGGTTTGCTCGAGGGTGACGAGCAAAGCAGTGTGAGAGTTCGCTACGTAAGGCTTCCCAAAGGAAGATATGCCAAGCTCCAGCCGGAGAGCCCCGACTTTGGCGACGTCCCCAATCACAAGGCCGTGCTGGAGACGAAGCTCCGCCATCACGCAGCTCTATCGTGTGGAGACGTCCTGAGCGTCAGCTTTGGGGGCGTGGATCACAGGCTCCTGGTGCTGGAGCTCAAGCCGGCCTCGGCAGTGTCGGTGCTCGAGACGGACATGGAAGTGGACGTGGATGCGCCGCTAAAGGAGAGCTTTCCTGGGAAGATTGTGCCACTTCTCATAGGCAAAGCCGAGAGTGGTGTAGTGGAAGAAGGCCAGTACAGGTACTACAAGTTCAGCGTCGATCAAAAGCTGGCGGATGCTGCGAGCAAAGACGAGTTGGAGCTCTTGATCCGGCTGCAAGTTGGTGGCGGTGGTGGCGATGCCGACGTCTATGTTGCTGCTCATCCGGTGATTTTTCCCTCGCGAGATGAGCATCAGTGGTCGTCACACGACACGGGGACGAAAGTTATCAGTCTAGCAGGCGCGTCGGTGCTTCCAGGAGTTTACAGCATCGCGGTGTTTGGATTTAGAGGCGTGTCCAGCTTCACGCTGGCTGTGGAGGGGAGGGAATCCAGAGAAAAGCCAGCGGCAGGTCACAGAGTTGGAGGTGCTGAGGCGAAGATGGTCCAGGATGGCTACGAGACTTGTGGCAATTGCAAGCAGATGATACCATCGCGTACGCTTCCGCTACACGAGGCCTACTGCATCCGTCACAACGTCCCGTGCGGCTATCCGGGCTGTGGGATCGTTCTTCGGCGGGAGGAGGCGGGCCAGCACGTCCATTGCCCGGGTTGCGGTGAAGCTTTCCGGCAGGAGGAGCTCCAGAAACACTTAGAGGTGTTCCATGTCGCTCACAGCTGCGACTGTGGAGTCGTCTTGGAAATGCAGGCCATGGTAAGCACGAGAACTTTTCTGTTTCTCTTTTGCTCACTTTGAGAATCTTCTTCCAATCTCAGGTGAAACACAAGGCTACCGATTGTCCACTGCGAAAGATTACGTGTAGATTTTGCGGGGACGTGGTACAAGCCGGGGGCGATGCCAAGGATTTGCGAGACAGGCTAAACGGGTTGAGCCAGCACGAGAGCAGCTGTGGCTCGCGGACGGACGAGTGTGACGTTTGCCACCGGGCCGTGATGCTGAAGGCCATGAATTTGCATCGAGCAGCAGTCCACGGTGGTGCTGGAAGTCTTAGCAGCGGCCCAAGAGAAGAAGAAGAAGAAGAAGAAGAATCCACCAGTGAGAAGTGTCCGATTTGCGACAAGATCTTCGACGGGGTGACCGCGATCAACCGGCATTTTGAGAGCGACCACTTTGGTCCGAGCAGCATTCCAGCAAAGAGCTCGCCGCCGCCGCCATCGATCCCCTCCAGTTTCCGGCAGTCTCTCTCGGTTTTGTGCCCGATTTGTGGGATGGCCGTGCACAGCGAGCGGGATTTGAGTTCTCACATCGACATGGTTCACTGAGAGCTAAGATGGTGGGAAAATACGTCGATTCTTTATAAAAGGAGTGTACCTAGTTAATGACAAGATTATAGGACTGCTTTGTGGTGACAAACTTAGAAGATATCCTTTTGATCTATTGAAATAATGACGCATTCTCATCATCAGGACAACGTTGTATACATAAACATACAAGTATACAGGTAGTGGACAAGTATACATACACATTATAAAATATATACCAAGAATATACTTAATTAATTTCAGCTTAAGACAAACTATGGATATACCAGATTATTTTAATTTAATTAAGCTTGATTATTGAGCTTGAAGCTATCTATTCTTGGCGTTTCTCTTCTATATGTAAAGCGCATTACGAATAGTATAGAGTAGTATGACTCGCGGGATCGTTTTCAGGGCTCCCGACTGGGCGAAGGAGCATTTACAAGCTCGCCGAAAAGCACTCTTCAAGAAGAAGAAAGAGGGGGAAGCAAAGGTTTTGAAGGGCGAAGAGCAGCAGCAGGAGGAAGTTGAGGTTTCAGAGGAGGAGGAAGAAGAAGATTGTTATGACTATGTCAGCATGGGGAGCAGCGACTACTGGTCATGCTACTTGCGCTTCATGTTCATCGCTGCCCACAAGATGGTTCAGCAGGCTGAGTGGGAAGCAAGCGAGGAGGAGAAACTCAGCCCTGTGAGGCCCCCCAAGGCGTTGGTGCTGAGCACCATTCTTCGAGTGTGCTCTCCAGACTCACGCTCCATCCCGATCTCATCACAGACGAAGCTAGTCCTCAAGTTGCTGCCTATGTCTTTCCCTCGCTCTCCATCGGACAGCCACGGTGACGTGGATTTGGAGCTCTGTTGCAGCAACGAGGAGGTGATCAGCCTCCTTGCCGCGGCTGGGCTTGGTCCCTTGGTGGAGTGTTGCCGAGATCACCAGCGGTTTGTGAACGTGATGGACAGTGGGCTGATTAGCAGGATGGCTGCTCTCCTCAACAAGCTGGCGCCTTTCTTCCCTGTGGTTAAACAGGACCTGGAGGGAACTCCGTATGTGGGGCACGACGACGACTTGAACCTGGATGCATTTAAGACTCTTGAAGAGGTTCGCGAGGCGTTCAATTTTCAGTCCGAACTCGGCATCGGCTCTACTGCCCAAGTTGAGTAGGCTTTGATCAGATAGATTCTAAGCTTTGAGCTTGTTTGTTGCTTTTCTTTTTAGAACTTAATTCGATTTGCGCAATAGATGTTTGCAAAGAGGCTATGGAGGCAAGGAAAGAAAAGGTGGCGGGGTATATATTAGGGTTCATAGATTCTTTTGTCTTGGCTTTTGGTGGAAGAAAGATGCTTGATTATCGAGATCGCAAGGAACAAAGTTTTCCTTTCTCTTCCGCGCTTTTCCAAAGCGACAGGAGAAAGCGTGGAACCCTCAAAATGGTCGCGAGATGCGACTCTACGCAAGAGAGAGAGAGAGAGAGGAAAGAAAGAAAGAGAATTTTTTCTTCTCCTCTCTTAACTCACGAGATTCGACCCTACGCAAGAGAGAGAAAGAAAGGAATTTTTCTTCTCTCTTAACTCACGAGTGAGAACTCCTCGGCCTCTTTCTCCCAAGAATTCCAATGCAAGAGCCGCGCGATCTCACCTCCACGCCCCGGCACGCTGCCTGTATGAAAATCGCGCGTTAGTTTCTTGCTGGAAATCGCTCGATCCGATCGCGAGAGGGTACCAAAAACGTACCACGCAAGCGCTGGTGTAGGTGTGGCCATCGATTCCACACACCGGCGCGCGCGAGGAATCGGCGCACACGCACGCCACCGGCCTCCTGATCAATCCCACCGAGATCCTCTCATCCTGCCAGAGAAAGACCGAAAGAAAGAACCAAGAAATGGAACTTTCCAGAGATTTAGCCGCTGCATGGCGCTCGATCGCTAGCCAGAATCCCCATACCTGGACGAGCGCATCGCAGCGCGTGGACAGCAGCGCGAGCGCCATCACCAGCTGGATCGCGCTCCACCGCATTGCCCTCCCCCTACACGCGCATCGCTCCGCCAAAATCCTTCCAAGAATTCGAGAGATGCGTGGGGGATTCGCGGAGCTCGGATTCTTCCCGTGAGATCTAGCAGCGAATGCGGTGCCGCGCCGACGATCGAAGAAGGGGAAGAAAAAAAGAGTGAAGAACAAGGTAGCTGTCATGTCCAAATAGACGGCATATTCTACACTCGCCACGGAATAAACTGTCGCCGGAGAATATGCCGTCATCTCCTCGCGCGCGCGCCCGTACAGCCGTGAAGGCAAGAAGGTGTCGTACTGGGTTAGTTAAGATCTTGTCCCCCGGAAGCACGGAATCCAAATTACTATAGCCAAGGTACCACTCGATCATAGCTAAAGTAACACTATCTCCAATTTTTTCGATTCACTTAGCAAGAACTTCACGATTCCCAGATGATAGTTCTATCGCAAGATCATAGCTACGAGAATTTTTCTTCTTTCACGATTCAAATGATAGTTCCATCGCAAGAGCACAGGTTCCTGTACTAGTCGATCATAGCTACAAGAATTTTTTTGTTTGCAAGAACTTCACGATTCCCAGATGATGGTTCCATCGCAAGAGCACAGCTTCTTGTAGTTCTCCCCGACTCCAGCGCTTCGAGCAATTACGGCGGCGGCGATGCCGTGGACGGATTTGTCAGCGGTGGCGTAGATGGCGAGAGCTCGGCCGATCAAGTCCGTGACTCGCAAGCCGGTCTTTGTTCCTGCGAAGTCCGCCCGCCCGGTTTCGTCAGCTACAAGAGCTCCAAGATCTCCAAGAGGCTGGGACAAGTTTCCAAATGAGTCGAGACGAAAAAAATATGTTTTTGTGTACCTCGGTGTCTTGCTGCTGAGGATTGAAAATGGCTCCGGTGCTCGCAGCGCCTCTGGTGAGATCACCATATGTGTTGATCGACCAGCCGTGAGCGCCGGGAGTCAAGCCGGTAAAAGTAGCTTCGATGCGAGCAAGCTCCATGGAGACTTGAGCGAAACGAACCACGCCATGGATCTCGGGGCCCTTGAACTCTACGACCGCAGCAGAGACTCCAAAATCTACACAAAGAAAGAAAAAATCTCACGAGGAAATCCACTAACAACAGCTCGAAAGCAAACTTCACCTTCCAAGCTTCCTTGTCCGATGAGCCTGGCACTGCGGCCGGTTTCTTCGAGTGCCGCGGAGATGGCTTTCACTGGAGCCGTGCCGAGAACACGGACAACCTGATTAGACAGATCCACGGTCACAGCTTTCACGCCTGTACTGCGAAGAAAACGAGCCACTTTAGAGAAAAAAAGAGAGAATTCCAGACGACCTTCCAGAGGCTCCAGCTTGCCGCGAACCGACTTGACACAGCCCTCGCATTTCATGTCCACCATATACTCTGTCTAAGCAAAGATCAACCAATTTCCATCCCCTGATCGATCAAAAACCTCTCTCACCAGGAGCTCCGGCAAAGTTTCTCCTCCTGTGGCCTGTGACAATCGCGGGGCGAGTGAGAAATGGATGATTTAGGAAGGCCATGCAAAGAGTAGTACAATGAGAAATCACGACACAGTCGTAGTGGTACTACTACGAGCTACTTTGTACTACACGCTAATGTCGACATCGTGTCGAGGATAAATTGCGAAAAGAAATGCGATAGAATCTTACCCCTGATACCGAAGCGTGCACTGCCTCTTCCACGGGCGAGCCCGCCGCCATAGCCAGAGCTACCTTGGAAACCCTCGCCTCGATTCTACTGCCAGCGCCAGCGCCAGCTTTCCCCACTAGATTCGCCGGCGCGAGATTCCCAGGCGGTGAGCTCGCCACTCGCGGTGCTAGGGTTAGGGAACCCCCGAGAGCAGCGGCCATAGCCAACGATCTTTCCTTCTTTCTTCCGCGAAAGCACAAGAGTTGTAAAATTTCAAGAATATTTCTAAGCATCTTGACTTTCTTTGACTTTAAATGTAAAATTCAATATTGGTGTTTACTTGGCAATGAACTAATGAATTAATGTATGATAAGATAAGAAATTAATGAAAAAGGGATTAAGAAATGTGGTAATGTATTTCCTGTTTTCCACAATTTATATAATCAAAGACTTTTTTTAAATAATAGTAATAATTTGCTACAGGTTGCATGTAGCAAATGTTTGGTTTGCTTAATAGTAGTATTATTCTTATTAATTAATCTAATTGATCAAATAAAGTTTACAATTATAAACATGTTTGTAATTTATAAACACAAGATTAATCTTCTGGCAATTAAATTGTAGAATAAAAAAGAATATACTAGAACAGGTTTAAGAAAGTTTATAAATTATAAATACAAGGTTAATCTAAATGAATAACAACCGTTAGATGGTAGAATATCCTAAAATAATTAAGCATATTTTAGGTATATTCACTACCAACAGGTTTGCTTAAGCAAACCAACAAGTTGCACTAGTTAAAGATAGATATTTAGTAGAAAAATAAATAATAGTAATTTAAGTTTCCAAAAAAAAAAATATTTATATGATATGCTACAAAACAATTGTATGTGACACTACTGTTAATACTTGTGATATATAATATAGTTGAATTTTTATTCAACAATTTTTGAATTGATCATATGTGACAATTAGTTTTATAAATTGTATTTTATAAGATATAAAAATAGTTATTTATGATAAACTGCCAGGAAATAAGTAATCCATACAAATGTTTTTAGCTACATTTCCTCTTTATTCATTTCTATATGTTAAAAACTTTTATAAAAAGTAAATTTTAAATAATAAGTGGTATAGCTTAAAATATGTGATTTTGTTTTGAATAGTGATTGAGAAGAACTTTCCAAATAGTAATTATATTTACACAAATAAATTAGGGATTATTTTAAAAAAACTATTTAACACTCTTTTTAATAAATATTAGTTTGAAATCAGTTTTTTTAAAGTATAGATGTTCCCTCCAAGATTTATTATCATGACTTGTGACTCTATAAAATACTTAAATGAAATAGTTTTTTTTCTATCTCCTCATTTGAAATTGACTTTGAAAAAATATGAGAATAAATCTAAATTTGAAAATTTGTTGTAAATTACTTCATAGTTTCCTTCTGTATTTTATAAGGTTGTTATTGAGTGAATATTTATATCTATTTTTATTTGATTGAAATTAGATAATAATGAATTTTCAAAATTTTGTGTTCAATTTGGTAAATTTGATAAATTCTAGAAATATAATATACCCATTAGTAATGTATTTTGTCCAGTTCACCCGCTTATTGACTGACATTGTCTTTACACAGATTTATTCAGAAAAACCAGAGTACCTTCTTCCATGCTAAGTGTGAGCTCCAACCATGCTTCAAGATGGTGGATCTCGGCCCTGCTCATTTTTGCTTAGGCATCGAGATCTGGCAAGATAGGCAGCACAGCTCAATTCCGCTCTCCCAGCAGAGAAAGGGGAGAGATCCTAGCTAAGTTTGGTTAGTTGAGCTGAACAAGGCTGCTACCCCTATGGAAGTTGTGCTCCATCTCAGCAAGACACAAGACACTCAGACACCTGAGGAACAACAGATGCATCACATTCCTTATTGCCAGATGGTGGGAAGTCTTCTGTATGTGTGGACGGCTTGAAGTTTGAAAACAAATGAGATTGGTATTTGCATAATCTGGCTTTTTTGAGTGTCGCAAAAGTGGTGCATACTTTCTTTTTAAATTCTAGCTCATTGAAAGTGTTAAAAGTGTGACATTTTTCACATGGATCTTGAAGCACAATTTTTGCATGGCTTTGGGTGTACTGAGGCCAAGAGCACATTTTTCACATGCGAATGGATGTCCTGAGCAAAATTATGTTATCTAGGATCATAAGTATTTTAGCAATTCACCTCATACTCATTCATTCCTGCATACCGTTGTTTATACAAGGCCTCAGACTCATCCATGACACCAGACTGTAAACACAACTTAAAATGTTAAACATGAATTAATAGTTACTAATAAATCTTACAAAACATTCGAGGGATGATTCCCAATTTTTATATCAAAGAAGAGAAGAGCTTATCACAGTGGAAGCTCGCCACTGTCGGCTATGGTGACTTTGGATTTGGGGGCGCCGCTTTGCGACCCCTCCGCCTCGACCTTGTAGACAATGTCCATGCCGCTAATCACCTTGCCAAACACGACGTGCTTGCCGTCGAGCCAGCTCGTCTTGACGGTGGTGATGAAGAACTGGGATCCATTCGTGTTGGATCCGGCGTTGGCCATGGACAGAACCCCCGGCCCCGTGTGCTTGAGCTTGAAATTCTCGTCCGCGAACTTGGTGCCGTAGATCGACTCCCCGCCCATGCCATTGCCGTGCGTGAAATCGCCCCCCTGGATCATGAAGCTGGGGATGATCCGATGGAACGCGGAGCCCTTGAAGTGGAGCGCCTTGCCCTGCGATCCAGTACCTTTCTCGCCCGTGCACAGCGCCCGGAAATTCTCCGCTGTCTTGGGCACCGCCTTGCCGTAGAGCCCCATGACGACGCGCCCCGCCGGCTTGCCGCCGATCTCCACATCGAAGAACACCTTGTGCGTGATCTCCTCGAGATTCTTCTCCTGCTTCTTCGCGGCGGCGGGGGAGATCCACAGCGCCGACAATGCGAGCGCCAGCGACACGATCTTGAGAGCCTCCATCGCCGGAAAGCCCTCCGACCTAGCGGTAGAGCCCTAAAAGAGCTCCAGCCACGTCTGTAACCAATAACAACGCGCCACGTGGACGGCCTGGCAAATCATTGCCCACCACGCGAGCATACTGTAGACGGCCGGATGCGCGCCACGTGCACGGTAAGGATATGCGAACCTCCCCCCAGAGATGCTTTCGTGCACCGTTTGGAAGGGCCGTCTTCGCATTTAACGGGGAGATCTCTGTCGTCCAAGCGCCTGGAAAGAACTCCTGGCTGGATCGATCCACCAGGGTGGTTGCCGGGAATCGCAGCGCTCGCGCCCCTCGGCGCGATCGATCGCGCTTTCGCGACAGATCATCGGATTGGATTGGTTCCAGAGCTTTCGATCGACAGGGCAAAGGGCGTTGAGAATTTCTAGAGAGGAGAAAGAGGGGAAGAGGAGAGCCGAGCGCTTGGAGCAAGATCATGGCAGTAGCAATGTCACAGGGGGGAAGTAACAACAGGAACACTTTCTATGATCCATTCTACAAGACGAGCCCGACGAGGAGGAGCGCCGCCAAGCCGCCCACCGCCACCGCCACCGCCACCAATTGCTACGACGATTTCAGCGTCTTCAACCATCTCCACTTCCCCAAGCCTCTCAGCCCACCGCGGCCGCCACACCCATCGCCCTCCTCCTCCTCGACCTCCACGGCTCCTCCTCCTCGCCCAGCATCGTCCGGGACGGCCATCGCCGCCGCCACCATCGCCAAAACCGAGACTTTGATCGAGCAGCAGCACGAGATGGTGGTGTGCCGGGTCTCGTCCGCGGTGATTTCCAGTGGTGTGGTGGTGGCCAAGGCAAGCGAGGAAGGCAAGTGAATCGAGGCTGGAGTGATCTTTGACTTTGGTTTGGTTCTAAAGTTTGTGTTCTATCTCTCGCCGCTCGCTACGCTCATACGAGTTTGAGATTCGTTGTTACTGCTGCTGTTGCTGCTCGAGTAGATTGGAGAGCCGTAGTGTAAAATCTTCCACGAAATTTATATCAAAATCGCTTTTTTCTTCCTAGAATTTGGTTCTAAAGTCTGTGTTCTATCTCTCGCCGCTCGCTACGGTCATACGAGTTTGAGATTCGTTGTTACTGCTGCTATTGCTGCTCGAGTAGATTGGAGAGCCGTCCACGGCAGCCCAGTGTAAAATCTTCCACCAAATTTATGTCAAAATCGCTTTTTTCTTCCTCGTTTGTCCAAGTTCTTGTAGAATTGTCAAGCTCGGCTCCTTTCCAGGAACTTGGGTTTGTCAAATTCTCATTCATCTCGCGGTTTTCTCCGAGATTCTCTTGCCTTGTCTTCTCAAATCGCGCTGTTGTTCTCGGACATTCCTTTACGGGAAGGTTCTTTCTTCCAAAGTTCTCGGGATTCTGTGAACAGTTGTTTCTCAGGTTCTCAGGATGTCAAAGTCGGCCCCCTTGAGGAGCTCGTCCACGAACACGTCCAAAAACTCGCGCTTTTGCTCCCCGAGCACGCAAAGGAACTCTTTCTCGATGAGCAATCGCGACTTCTCCGAGATGGCTTCCATGCCCGGCGATGGCAGCGCGCTCTTGGCGAGAGCAACCATCTCCCGGACAATCCCATACCCGGGACACGTCGCATGCAACGCGGCCATCATCTGGTACGCGCTCACTCGCGAGCTCAACTTCGCCGGACTGTCCGACGATCTCTCGAGAAGACCGGCCCTGTAAGCCAAGTAGTACGACGTTCTCACCCAGTCTCTCTCCACCGGAGAAGCCAAGGTGGCGATTTGATCCTCCACTTCCACTGCAATCCTTCGCAGCTCCTCCAGAGCCTCCGCTCGATCTTTCCTCTTGGCTGCTTCTCTCATTCTTGCGTGGAAGCACGGGAACTCCGGCCTCTGAGCGTGCAGCCGAGCTTCCACCCGACACCGGAGACACTTGCAAGTGAATCCCCAGCGGCTGTCCGTCCAGTACATGCGCTCGTCCAGCGGCTTCTTCACGTCCATGTAAGGGAGCGTGAGTTCTTCCTCGGCTCGGATGTTCCTGGCGGCTCTCACGAACAGCGCGGTTCCAACCATCTGCTGCGACACGTTAGGGACGCAGGAATGGTTGATGAGCGCCGGGAGTGTCCACAGTCCCATCGGACTCTCGGGCTTGTCCTCGATCTGGAAGGCGTAGCTCGAGCAAAGCTTGGCAATGGCGGGCACGGCGTCGAACCAGATGTAGTCTTGCTGCTGGTCGTGGATGAGAACGTTTGTCGGCTTGAACAATCCCATCTCCATCGCCAGCTCGCTGTCTAGTCCCAAGAACTGGAACAAGCTCTTCCTCGACGTCAAGCACTTCCTCATCAACTTTGCCGGCAAATCCTCCCGCGGTGCCACTGCCGCCGCGTTCCAGACGAGCAGAAGCTGCCCGGCTTTGATCTCCTCGGTCGCGAACAAGCCCCGGCCTTTCTCCTCGTCGGCCGCCATTCCCATCCTCACGGGGCCGAGATAGTCGCCAACTTCGGGAGCTTTGCTCTTGCCGAGGATGAACTCTCGCAGCTCGTAGTTGCCAGTGTCTCGCTGCTCGATCAACCGAGCACACCGCTTCATGGTGTCGTCATCCGCGAGGCCCGATCGGTAGAAGCTGTCCAGCGCTGCTCGGAACTTCTGGAGGCCGAGAAAAAGTTGGCCTTTGAGGAGGTACGTGTGCCTGTGAGTGGAATCCACGACGTGTGCTCGCTTGGCGTCTTCGAACGCTCTCTCGTAGCAGTTTAATCCCAGCCATGCCTGGCAGCGCTTGGAAAGAGCTTCCACCTTGTTCTTGTATCCCTCCTCGTCGATACACCTCGTGAGGAGGTGGATCGCTCGGACGTAATCCTTCTTCTCTAGAGCAGCCGACGCTTCTTCCCAGATCTTCTCCACGGTGAGACCATCTGGAACTTCGATCCCCAAGAAGTCGATGTACATGGGGTTGTGGATCTCGATGATCACTCTCCCTTTGGCCGTGCACAGCGCTCGCGGGTGCTTGATCTTCACTCTGGCGCCCTTGGGGAAATGCATCCTCACCTCCTCCACCGTGGTCGATGACAGCGCGAAGTTACTCACCAGCAAGTAGACGAAATCGCCATCGCTCCTCTCGGCGATGGCGCTCGACACCCGCATTCCATCCTTGATGATCCCGGCGTCGCGGGAGAGCGTCCCCAGCAAGCTCCGGCCACTGAATTCCACCTTGTTCTCGCCATTCTTGACCTTGGCCGCCTCCTCGGCATTCTCCCGGAGCGATTTCTGGATCTCCGCAAAATCGATCGGCCGAAACTTGAGAAGATCTAGAATCTTTTGCTTGCCTAGAGCAGGCGGACCAAGCACTGGCACTGGATCTTTCGACCTGTGCGGCGCCATTCCCGCCTGGGAGGCGTAGAACCTCCATATCCTCCCGCGAGCTCTCATCCCCGCCCTAAAACCCAGAACCCTAGTATACCCTAACCGTCCACGTGTCAGGTGGAGAATCGCTTAAGGGTAAAAGATATCCGTTTCAAATCAATGGATAAGAGCAAAGATACCTACATTTTATGCCTACGTCAGCTGCCACTTGGCGGGTCCGTGACCACAGATTCGCGATGCCCACGTGGGACCTATACTGGTGGCCGAAAAGCAGCCTGGGGAGATTAGGCGGTAAATAAAGTTTCGCGAGTAACAAAGAGTAGGGTTTGGAGATCCGGGCAAGCGCTGCGAGGTACGATCGATCGATGCTCTTCGCGGCATTACCATTTCCAGGTCGAGATCGTGGCGACGAGGAGCGCTACCGCGAGCTAGAAACGCTGTGAAGAATGGCAGGGATTTTGATTTGCCGCAAGAATGTAGCGAGAATCCATTGAGATTGAGTGGATTCTCGCGGCTAGAGAGCTGTAGAAGAATAATGCGGACCTTGTGCGATGTCTGCGAATCAGCTCCAGCCAGGCTCTTTTGTGCGGCAGACGAGGCTGCGCTGTGCTCCAAGTGCGATGAAAAGGTGCCTCTTTTTCTTTCTTGCTTTCCTCGCTCACTCTCGCGATTGGAAGAAACTAATCTCTTGGTTTCTTTCTTTCAGGTGCACGGATGTAACAAGCTAGCTAGCCGCCACGTTCGTTTGCAGCTCGCGGAGGCACGAGCGGTGCCTCGGTGTGATATCTGCGAGAGCGCTCCTGGTAAAGTCATCGAAAGCCTCACTTTTTCGTTTTTTCTTTGGGGTTTTGCCTTTTGTTTCTGGCTAAAGTGACTTGGCTCGTAGCTTTTTTCTACTGTGGCATTGATGGAACGTCACTGTGCTTGCAATGCGACATGGATGTACATACCGGAGGGAAGAAAACGCACGAAAGATACCTCATGCTGGGACAGAGGGTGGAGGTAATCACCGGACTTTTAGCTTCGCGGTAGTTGTTTGACAGTTTCTTACAGCTTGCTACTTGTAAATCTCAGCCTGAAGATGCTGGTGTACAATCAAACGATCACCGCGGACAAAACCATTACCACCCGACTAAGAGGATCGCGTTGACGAAATCAAACAACAGTGATGCTCCCGCCGTTGCTATAGCCGTCGGCGATGCCGATCAATCCAAGGGCGACACGCACATGATTGATCTTAACTCCAGGCCTTTGCATTTGCAAGGCCAACCGGCAAAGGTAAGCCCGCTAGTTTTTGCGTAAGTCTTACGAGTTTCTATCTTGTGTGCTCCATCCAGAGCACGAAAAGTAGAGATTCCGGAAGCAGCGACGACTGCGCTGGAGTAGTTCCTGAGATCACATCAACGGCCAAGTCGTGAGACGTTTTCTAAAGTTGTGTATTTGTATGACATGGCAGCTGTGCAACATTTCAGTACAGGAAAGAAATCAAAAGAAGTCGTCGAACGGTACAAGCTATTCACAAAAATGTTTCACATTTGAGACCAGTTTCTCATCCAGTCAAGTTGTCGGGCAAGTTGATGGAGTGCTGGCCGAGAACTTGACCAGCAACGTCGGGAAAGCTCTCGTTGCCGGCGATGGGCTTGATCTCGCCGTTCACCTGGACGCTCATGGGATAGCTCATAAGGTGGCCCTTCATGTCGGACGGCTCCTCGGACACAAACTGCTTCCAGTTACCTTGAGCAATCTCGTTCACTTTGTGGACGCATCTTATATCAGAGGGATCGTTGAACAAAGCTGGATCGAAGTCTCCGAGGTGCTCGGCCCAGAGAGAAGCTCGGTATCCATAAACCTGGACAGAGAATACAAGAAGAACAGGAGGAACAGGGAGCGTTGCAGTGACAAGCAAGCAATGAGAAAGAACTTCAAAGCTACCTGGCCGAAAGGATGGGAGTGTTTCTTGTGAGCCCAAGTATAGTGGGGCTGATAAGCTCCCATGGCAAGCTCGGTGTCCCTGGAACCGTCCATGGAACGCTGGTTGATGTTGGCCGAGCCGATGATCACGTACTCGTCGTCGACGATCATTCCTTTGGAGTGGATGTAGATCATGAAGCGCTTGTACTTTTGAGCGTACCACTGGACGAGGAGGCGCAAAGTTCTCAAGAGTTTTTCGGGGAAGAAAGAAGTGTTACCTGTGTGGATTTCTCGGCTGGTGCCATGGTTCCTGGTTCGCTTCGCTCCTCCCGGTTTGCAAGGCAGTAGAAGTTGAGATAGTCCGTGGGATGGTTGCCACTGCCAACTTCGTTCAAGGCCTGTGCGATGATCTTGTACATCATCTTCATCGTTTGGCTCTGATCCAGCATCCAAGTCAGTGACAACGTGAAGAACACTCGAGAATGGGATTGTTTTACCTGGAAGTAGAGGATTTCCTGGACGGTGGCACTGTCAGGGACGCCCTCCGGCCACATTGGAATGACAACATAGACGGCGAACGGGTCGCCACTTCTGATCTTGGAGGCCACCTTGAGAGCGAGCTCCATGGGGATCATATGAGTCGCGCCACCCTTCTTATAGTCTGGCCAGGCATACGACGAGCCCAGGAAGTACTGGTTCTCGATGTAGATAAAGTGCTGGGCCGAGCGAATGCGCTCCACGTACGCCGTGTGGATGCTCGTGTCGATGGCAACGTTTTTGAGCGTCACCAAGTTTTGCTTCTGGCAGTCTGCTGGTTCTTTGGGAAATCCTTTCACGGATCCAGAGTCGATGGAGCGAAAGACCTGCATCACACGACGTGTAAGTTCGTTCTTTCTCTAAAGCCTTCTCTTTGTCACTTACCTGGACGTTCCATGTTTCAGGATCGTTCAGCTCCGTGACCATCAAGGCCTGGTCGCCATCGTTTGGGCTGAGAATCCAGGAAATCCTGTCGATCTCGATCATAGCATCCTCGTGCCATGTCGCGGCCTTTCTCCAGCGCTGAGCAAAGTTTGTGAGCACGTCGTACGCTGCCGGGCCGTCTATCCGGCAGTGGAGGTCGTGCCACGGCTGCCTTGGACCACCATGATCGATCGTTCCCTGGTTTTCCAGCTCAACCAACGTAAGCATCGAGCAACAAAGAAGCAAAAAAAGTATGCTTTTCTGCTAACACTACTGTAAAGAAGGATGTGTTCTTTTGCTTACAGTGAAAGTCGGGTTGTGGTAGTCGTCCCTGTGGATGCTGCCAAGCGTTTTGAACAACGGATGCTCAGGCGTGTCGTATCGTCCTTGCGCGAGGTCCAGCCCACCTATGAAAGACGTAAGCTTACGATTGTTTCCTCGTCCTTGGCTGTCGACAATAACGAGCTTTTGGTGGTGCGTGTAGAACGTTCCGACAACCTGGGAAAAGATCGAGACGAAGAGTCAAAAGGAAAGAAAAAGACAAAAGCCGCGAAGTCTCACCCTTTGCTTGAGCCAACTCATTTTGGAATCGCCATAGCGAGGGGAGAGCACGCATCGCACCGCCGAGTGCCGGAAGAACTTCTTCGTCTCCTCGTCATAGGTACCCATCACTCCTTCCTGCAACTCACAGCGACGTTAACTTCCAGCAATCTCGCAAGAACAAAGAGAAAAAAAAGAGATTTTTCTTTCTTACCGTCGTGAACAACGGAGTGTGATGCGAGGTCTTATCGTCCCACACCAGCAGCAACACGCGAACTCCCTCGGCGGCCTTCCTCTTGAGCAGCTCCCCGAGTGTGAGATTCGCGATGTCATTGCTAAACTTCTTGTGATTCTCAGGCTCCCGGACGATCTTCACCTTGTGGAAGACCGACCAGCCCGCGATATACACAAGGTGGTGAGCCTCGAGAATGGCCTGGCAGATATCCTCCCAGCACTTGCCATGCTCGTAAGCTCCGCCACCCTCGAGCGTGATCTCCGGAAGACCACCGTCCGGGCAGTGCGCGTCCTGGTAGAGCTTGACCGAGCAGCCCTTGCGAAGCGGGAAGTAAGTCCGAGGAACCGCGCCCTCGGCTCCAACTCCGTGCTGGTAGTTCTTGTCTTGCTCCACTGGAGTATACTTGATCGAGATCTTGAGCTGCGCGCCTTGCTTCACAGGCTTGCCACCCGATCCAACGACGTCAAACCACGTCTCCACGATCGCGGGGCCGCTGGCGATGCGGTGAGCCGGGATCTTGACGCCGCCGATCACTTGCGCGCCAAACACATCGTTGTCTTTGACCGTGAGCAACACCTCGGGGACCGAGTGAGCGACGTGGAGCTGGAAGCGCTCGCCCCAGTGTGGAATTTGGCTGTTGCTGATCACCTTGGTCTTGGCGAGGATGGCGTCGCCCAGGCTGAAAACCACGTATGGATCGCTCGTGATCTTGTGGCGATGGTGGGCGAGCTTGTCCTTGGGCTTGGCACACATTGTCTGGAGGCCGCCCAGGATGGAGAAGCACTGGCTGGCCCTCTCCGAGAACCAATCCATGTTGGGCAGCGACTTGGCCTCGATGATCTCCAGCTCCACCGTGCCGTAGAGGAGGCAGACCTTCGGGGAGCTGGCGCCCAAGGAGACGTCCTCCATCTTGCCCAGATCGCTGGAAGGGAAGGAGGCGAAGTGATCGCCACCGCCGGCGGGTGGGCGTTGCTGTTCTTGCTGGTGCTGCTCCACATTCTCGTGCTTTACCTCGAATTCGCCATCGCTGGTGCCCGCGTCCTTGAATCGCACTGCCCGGGAGTTGATCGCGCCGTCTCCCTCGTCCGGGTGCGCGGGAATGCTCCATCCCAGCGGCTTGCCGTCGTCATCGCGGATCTGGTCGCCCATCGCGCCCGCCCTAGATCCGGAATTGGAGGCCCAATCGAGCACCTCCTATATTCTTGGCATTTGACCGAGTCGATCGAAGAGGAATCGATGGGATCGATCCGACCCACGTCGGGATCGGCGGGAATGCGACGTGGGTTTCTCCCAGAATCGCCGGAAGAGGGCGCCCAAGCGCCGCAATCGAGCTAGCTTTTCTTGCCACTCTTTGCACGTATTAGCTCCAGAATTGCTGCCAGGAAGCAAAACTGCGATGGAATCGATCGAGCCCACGTCGAGGGAGGCGGGAATGCGTAGTGGGCTCTTGCCGGATCGCCGAGAGATCGCCCAAGTCGAGAATTTTGGGAGTGAGCAAGTGAATGGAAGTACTTCTAGAGCCCGGAATCTTGGAGGGCCATCAGCACACACTTGGAATGCTTGGTGGCTGGCAGGCGTGTGGTGGGGGCATGAGGAAGACATGAAGAGCGCCAGTCGCTTTGTCCTTGGCTCTCACAAGATCATCGCCATTAAAGATGGTACAAAATATCATCCATCTGGAGAGAGGATCGGCCAAAGGGAATCTCTGGAATCTTGGATTGGAACGTACCCGATCGCTCTGGCTGCCTTTTGTTTGAATTAAAGCACAAGCTTTCACGCACCAAGCATTGCACCTTTCATATCAACGAATCCAAGAAGAAAAAGAAGGAAGTTACTCTTGGCACAAAACTCATTTTACTCTTTGTAGATTTCTTTCCCAAACAATCTTCACAAGCTTTGATTTCTTGGTAGAGCACACACTGATTTCTCTTGTAAATCTCTTGGAGTGGTTTTCTAAAGCTTTTATTCGTTGATACTTTATGATGAGAACACTTACACAGCTCTGCAGCTAGAGAGTGGGATGATTCCAAATGCAAGGGTGGTGTTTGCTATGGGATTACATTCCGTTGTGGTTTGTGTGAGCACGCTACTTCCATTGCCAAAAGAGCAAGCCAGTGTGGAGTAGAGGATCCCTGGCTCCTTGTCAAAGATAAACTTGTAGCCAAACGCTGGTGGTGCTGGGAAGCACTGTGCAGGCTGGGAGAAATTGGTGGCGGTGTTTAGATCCAAGTTACAAGCTCCAGGTGCTAGATAGATCTTGAAATAGCTCTCGCTCTTGACCATTGCAATGTAGCCAAATGAGAAGATTACAAGCATGAGCAGCGTTGGAAACAGGGAAGACCTCTTTGACATCTTTAAAGACAATGAGATGAAGATCACTGCTCTGGCAAACTTATATATGCGCAAAATGATAAGATCCAATCTTGCAAGGTTAACCAACAATCTTGACGATTGTTTGTGGAAAGGAAGTGATCACCAATAATTGTTTTTTAATCAAATCAACTAGTTGCTTGTTCTAGGTGCATCATAGCATCAAATCAAGAAGAAAAAATTAAGCTTGTAGCTAGACCAGTCTCAAAGTTTCCAGCTATAAAAACCTCTTAAAAAGACCTCAATCTTAGCATTGAGTAGAAAAGAAGAGATGGCCACATGGAGCACTTTTATCACCTTGTTTCTTGCAATATCTACTGGTTTGGCTGCTGCTAGCACGTATGAAATCTATGGAGACCCAACATGCACCACAGTGCTGACAAATTTCTCAACTCCAGCACAGTGCTTTCCTGTTCTTCCTGTCTTTGGATATAAGTGAGAACAAATGTATTCTCTTGTGAGATGGATGATAAAAAAATTTGTGTTTTGGGCAGCTTTATTTTCACAGAGGAGCCTGGAATCACATTCTTTGGAGCTGCCTGTTCCATGTCCATAAACGGTTCCACAATTCTCACCAAGAACACTACTGTTTGTGGCCCATCAACAGTCCTCTCGTTTGGAATTCTCCCTCTGGTGGATTGCAACTTGCCGCCTAGACGATCACCCCCACCTCCACCGCCTAGACGATCACCGCCACCTCCACCGCCAAGACGATCACTGCCACCCCCGCCGCCGCCACCCCCGCCGCCAAGACGATCACCGCCACCCCCACCGCCGAGACGATCACCGCCACCCCCGCCGCCGAGACGATCACCACCACCTCCACCGCCTCCATGTAAGAAAGGTAAATGTTAGTTGTGTTCTTCCCTTGGAAATAAAGTTTTTCTACAAATATGAGAAAAATGTAGAAATTTTAGCTTGGTCTCTGTTCTTGATGTTTCCAGCGACTTAATGTAACATTGTTTGACTAGTCCTTCAGACATGATGCATTTTCACTTGCAGCAGCTCTCTCGATATGCTTGTCTCTGCTGCTCCAGAATTCATACCTTTAATAATCAGGATTAGTTTTTTGGACGAACAAAGAATAGCTTTAAGGCTTTTCTAATTAAATTTTACTAGAAATAAACTGAAATATAAAAGGAACACCACACTTAATATTATTGAATTCAATTTTATTATCACATCATTTTGTAATCTTTGGTTTGTGTCTATATCTTTTAGTCTTCTCTTTTTAATTCTTTTTGGTTTGCTAGTGATCTATGGTGATGCTCGTAATTTTGAAAAGCAAATATATCCAAGTGCAATCTTTCTGATTCACTTTCTGATACTGGTAATTGTAATCTTGAAACATTAGCAGCACATCAATATAGTCCTGGAAATTTACTGTATGGAGTAACACTTGGAAATCCCACTGGAAGATAAAGTGATGGATATATATTTTAGCTCACAATTTTAAACTTGGTGATATTGAGCTTCCAAGTCTCTTATAATGGTACTTATTTTACAAGTTTGAATTTTGGTTATGCTGGAGCAACTGGTCATCTAGCTAATGTTTATGATAATACTTTTGCTACTCCTCATATATTATCTGTTTAAATTTTAGAATTTATATGGCATAAATAACAAGTTAAAGATCATCAAGATGATAAGAAAATATTATATGAAAAAGCACTTTATTATATTGAGATTGGTGGCAATGATCTTGGTTATGGTATGCCAGATTTTGCATATGTATTAAATATTACAATTCCGATTAAGGGTATATCTAATATTTTGGATTTATATAATTCTGATGCAAAATATTTTTTAATAATGAATCTTCCTCGTTTTGATTGTGCTTTAAGTTATTTACAACTATTTTCAAATGCTACTGATATGCATTATGACAAGTTTGGATGTGTTATTGAAACTACTAATGTTATTAATTTATTTAAATAATAAACTATTAAGTATGATAAATTATATTAATAATAAAAAATGAGGTTTTCTGCAAGCAATGAAAATAATTCAAAATATGGATAGCTATGGATTCAAAACTTATAAAGAATCTTGTTGTGGTGTTCCTGATGGTGATTTTCGTTGTAATAATTCTATATTATGTGGTTGCGGAAACTAGTGGTACTGTATGTGAGAATCCAAGTGAATTATGGTCTGATGGTACTCATTTCACTCAACATTTTTATGAGGCTTCAGCTAAACTTATTCCTAATTATCTTACTCCGACTGTGACCTTTTGTCTGGTTGAATGGCAATGCCACCCTCTCAGAATTGATTGATGCGAATTCTCAATTTTCAATAAAAGACAATTGCTCTCGATGAGGCAGGAATTCAACGGTGTAATGCGACAGTGGAATGCATGCCAAGTGCTGGAGCATATGAGATGTTCACTCTTGGATAGATGAAGCGCGTTGTGGATCTTTTTGCAGTAATGCAAGCAAAGCACTGGAGAAGAGCCGGCCATTACGTGTTTGTCCATCCAACAGAGATGAGAGGCATTTCTTCGTGAAATTCCCTTGCTTCCCTGTTCTTGTTGGTTTAGGAGAGAGGACTCGGTGTCACAAGGTAGCAAAGAGGAACTTTTACAAAGCAACTTGATTTTTCTTCTTGTCCAGTCGAGGATCAAAGCTAGCATGAAACTTAGTCCGAGAACCGCATCATCAAAGATGAACTTGGAGAATCCGAGCAGGAGAATGAGGAGGCAAGGACAGGTCTCTTGTCTCTGTCACCAGATCCAGAAATATGCCAGGTTGATGGGACTCCGGACTGAAACGATCTCTAAAGTGGAATTTTCTTGATGATGTTTCCACCTGATCAGCACATCTGAAAACTCCGGATCATGAACTTTGATCATGGAAGAAACTAAAATGCATTCCAAGTTTGAAGGAAAGCTTAACAACATATTGAGCTTCATTTCCAGCTCCTGTCGTAACTCTACTTTGTGTACAGAATAACACACTTAGGAACTCAGGCCTTCTTGGTTTTCAGCATTATCGACAAATTGCTCTGCTTTGTGGTGTCACTGCTTGTCTCAAGTTCAGGTTCCAGACTGCATTTGTCACCTGAAAATAGGAAACAAAGAAACAAAATCAAACCATCAGTGAAGATTGCTTCGCAGGCAGCAAAGTGAAACGAAAAAAAAAAGAAGAGAAAACTTCTTTTTGGTCCATGATCTCACTCACGGAGGCCATTTCTTGCATATAAATACCAACCTCCATCACGAGAAAGGCTGTCTCATCATCACTCCACAGGAAACTGGAAACCCCTCCTCTTTCACAAAACCTTTTGACTTCACACCTCCTTCAAATGGCTAGACAATGCGAGCTTGCCTTCATCGCCAAAAGAAACTTGGTAATGTAAGCAAAAGCCTCGGATGAGAATCCCTCTCCACCTCGACATCCAGTTCAATGGTGTCGAGAGTGGCTTTTGGATCAAGTCCTTTTGGATTCAACGCCATATCTGGATGTTAGTCAGTCTCAAGAACCATATTGAGACACAAGAACTTACTGTCGATACTTGCATCAAGCAGTCAAGTAAGCTGGATCGAGAGAAAGGCTTACACATACCGCGGGTGTGCTTTGCAAAAGACTTGACGGATCGTAAGAGGCTCTTTTGAGCCTGCAACACCTATAACCAAAAAATGTGAATTTTTTTTGCGTTGTTCTTGTAGAGATCGATGAAAATTACCTCCGGTTGCATGCTAATGACCATCTCTTTCAGCGTTTGCTCGCCTACAATGTCTTTGAAAACACGCACGAGTGTGTCACGAGAAATCTTCCCTTGCTGCAAAAAAAGATTGCTTCGTGTTAGATCAAGAACCAAAAAAGAAAAAATGAAAAATCGAAAGTAAAACTAGAAATAAAAAAGGCTTGCCTTAAAGACTGTGTACTGCTCCACCAGATAAATAAAATCCTGGAACGATAGCTTCTCCTTAAGCACTTTAAGAACTCTTACAAACGAAACCCATGGTGTTTTGGGCACACTCATTCGCTAAGGGCGAAAGAGAAATAAAAATGTGTCAAGAGAGATCGCGAGAGAGAGGAATCCCAGACCTGGAAAGAGTGGCAAACGCTTCCGTTGCCACTGGAAATGCAAGAGGATGAGACATCATTTGGGGTTTCATCCGATTCCTCTTTGGGCCTACATCTTGGATTTGGCACTGAGAATCCAGCTGAGAGGAGCTTTACCTGTGAGGAATTCCATCCGGGAGCTGGAGATCCATCTAGTAGGAGGAGATAGAGGCCATGATTTTTTCTCTCGCTGGAGGATGTGGGCGCAAAAACCTAGAAATAAGAGTGGAAAGCTTTAGGGCAGACGATACACTAGGGTTTTTTCTAATGGCTTGGCGATGGCGCGTGATTGGGATTCTCGTCCTCGTCGCTTGTTGCGCGGCTTTTGGAGGCGCGATCGAAGGTACTGTGGCTGCGCAGCTATGGCGGTAGCTTAGAGGTTGTCTTTATTGACAGGCGATGGCGGCGACCCGGACGCTCTCCAGGCGCCGCTTTTGGACGATTCTTTCATGAGCTCTTCGCCGGGGATGAGCACTGGCAGCGTCCTTAGCTGCAAGCGCTACGTCGTCCCGGCGTTGTCGCGATTGGAGAGCTTCCTCAAGCTCGCTCACGTCCGGCGCGTGAATGTTTCGGCTCCTTTCACTCTATCGAAGATCGAGGCTTGCCTTCATGGGTATGCATGAAGCTCTTTGGGGAAGAACTCTGTGGCGGTTCTAACACTCTTGTTTTTGTTGGTTTGGTTGGTTTGGTTTGCGTTTCTTCGCAGCAACGCGACCCTGGACTTGTGCCAGTGCTCGAAAGAAAAGTGGAAGGCTCTGGAAAAGAATAAGTGGTTTGCGAGCATGTCACCGTTCGAAACCATGTACGTTGATATCCGGTCAGATCGGAAAGCCTCGATTAAAGACACTCCTGTCACTGTGCTCGTCAAAGAAGGTACGAGTTTTTTTTCTTTTCTTCTTGGACAAGTTGCTGATCATTGCGTGTTACAGAGTTTTGCTCCTACCGAGTGTTTCTCTTCGTACTAGGCATCGCTTTACTCATTTCGGCGCCCATCGTGAGCGAATGGGTTCCCTTTTACTACAGCAGTGGCATGACTCTGGGCATCGTTTTAGTGGTGCTCATCATTTTGTTTCAGGTACAAATTGTAGAGCTGACTGTCCTTCGTTAACAGCTAACTGCAGGCGATGAAACTTCTGCCATTTGGCAGGAAAAGCAGTATCTACATACTTCTATATGGCTCTCTTGTAAGCATTTTTTTTTTTGTTTCTTTTTTTCCTTCTCGGCCAGCTTTTCGTTCTGACATGTAGCACGATTTTCAGGTGGGTTTTGGAGCTCTTTTACTCCGACAGATCTCGATTCTTTTGACCCCAATGTTGATGGATATGGGAGTGGGGGAAGACATGGTTAAGCCGGTAAGATATATATAGTACTTTTTTTTCCAATGCCTTCTTTAACCGTTCCCTTGCAGATCGCCATCTTTTGTTTGATGGGAGTTCTCACAGTCGGTGCATACATGGGATATTGGGGAGTTCGTAAGTTTATTCTCACGAATGAGGGAGATGTGGACTCTGGGACAGCAACGTTCGTCAAGTGGGCTATCCGGCTTTTTGGCGCTACAATGCTCTTACAAGTGAGTAAACAAGCTTTATTCTTCCTGCGGAGCTTACACCCCGTTTTTCAGACTTCGACTGATCCGGTGTTCAGCGTTCTGTCATTGATCGTCGGGATATTGATTTCTCTGGTACCCAAGCATTTTAAAGGCCTGGGAAGTCTGGTCGATTTCTCGTGGCCATTCTCCAGGGGAGATTCCTCTTCTTCTGCCTTCGGCGCGTGGAGGTATCGCAAAAAGTATGTGAAGATGTGGAAGAAGAAGCAAGTCGCCACATCCCCCTTTGGAGTTCCGTCAAGCTCCTATCACACTCCAGTCACCATTTCAGGTAAATTATATCGTCTTGTTTAGCTCTAAACTGCGTGTTTATGCAGGAAAGCGCGTCTTCGTGTCGCCTCCAGCAACTTTCAAGGTGACACCCGAGCGAACCTTCTACTCAACTTTCCACCACACACCTGAGCGCAACAAGATGTCCCGGGCAGAGAGAGAGGCCCTGGCGAGGGAATACACGCACAACTCCATGAAAGAACTACTTTCTTCGCCAAAGTTCGCCGAGTGGGCCATTGAAAACACCGACAGAATTGCCGTGCTGCCACACGACGCGCGTGAAGAAAGGCCGGAAGAGGAGATTGAGTTGACGGCGAGCCTGTCCTCATAGGTAGTTCACTTTGGTGGGTTGAAGCTGAGCAAAACATCAGCTCGCGATTGTACTATTACCTTTGTGCTTTTTTGTCCATTTTTTTGTATCTAGCCTCGTTCTTCTTCAGCCAAACTCAGGTGTGCTTCTTTCGAAGTTTTCTTACTCTGTTCTTAAAAAGCTAAGCCTGTTATTCTTTACAGGAACTCAGCTACTGTGGATTTCTGTTTCTTTTATTGAATCACTCACGCTTGTAGTTTTGCAGTGAGAAGGTAGAATTAAAAGTCACTTTCTCAGGTGATGGTATTACAGGAATGCAATGCTAAAGATTTGTTATTTGGCGGATCCGAATTGTCCCTGTGCAGCTTTTGGTGATTGTTAACAGGCTATGCAATGGGTATGGTCTTGCTTTACGAAGATGAAACTCCGACCAGGTAATCTCTGTCCTTTCAATTCTTTTTTGATATCTATCTGCCAACCTCTACGGAAAAAGCAGCGCTCTTGGAATCTCTGCAGCTGGAATCGTTACTGTTGAGATAATGGACACAGACTACAGTTTTCCGCGGCTCTTTTAAATGGTGAAGGCATCCTGTTAAGAAAAGACAAGCGTTTTTATTTGGAGCTAATGGAAGCTTTGAAGGTAAGTCTGATTCCTTTTGTCTTATGGGCGCTAATGGCTTGCAAGCAAAATGTTATGCAGGAAGGGAGATCAGAGGTTTTTGCGGTGCCCGTCAAGCAAAAAAACGATGGAGGTTGCCATGATTCTTGGCGTTGCGGTGGTGGCAGTCACTGCCTTGTTGACATTCTCGAGTTTTTTCAACAAATGGTACTATGAGCCGGTGCTCAAGCCGGGGCAGCCTCCACTTCCACCAGGTTCGCTTGGATGGCCCGTCTTTGGCAACATGGCTGCTTTTCTCAGAGCCTTCAAGTCTGGAAGACCGGACACTTTCATGGCTCACTACGTTGCAAAGTTGGGTACTGTCGTAGTTTTCTCTCGCTTGTCTAACCGTCGCTTCTTCTTGGTTTCCAGGTACAATCGAGTGGGTTTTTACAAGGCGTTTCTGTTCTGGCAGCCCACCGTCCTGGCTGCCACACCAGAGGCATGCAAATTCGTGCTCTCCAAAGACAGCTTTGAGACAGGATGGCCGGAGAGCGCTGTTGAGCTCATGGGACGAAATTCGTTTGCGGGATTAACTGGAGAGAGCCACTTCAAGCTCCGGAAGCTTACCGAGCCCGCTGTGAACAGTCCCAAAGCTCTAGAGCAGTATGTGCCTCTCATCGTCAACAACATAAAAGCGTGCCTTGCGAGGTGGTCTGCGCAGGATAAGATCGTTCTTCTTACCGAGATGAGAAGGGTAAGCGATGTTTACTTCCTCTTTGTCGTAGTTTTCTTGTTGACACTGGGTTTTTCTGATATGACAGTTCACGTTTCTAACTGTCCTCCACATTTTATATGGGAAAGACTCCAGTCTCGACGTGGATGAGACTTTCTCCTTGTACTACATTGTCAACCAAGGCATTCGTGCTCTTCCCATCAACTTCCCTGGGACTGCCTACAACAAAGCCTTGAAGGTAAAAGCCACATGCGTTGTCCTACACAGCTTTGTGACGTTTTCCCATTCTCAGGCGAGGCGAAAGCTCATCAAGCTTATCCAGGACGTGATCAACCAGCGAAGAGCTTCTGGAAAGCCACAGGAAACAAACATTCTTTCGTTGCTCATGGATCAGCTAGATGACAAAGGAGAGGCTCTGGAAGACGCTCAAATCATAGACGTGCTCAACATGTACATGAACGCTGGTCACGACTCGACGGCTCATGTCATCATGTGGCTGATGATTTTCCTGAAGCAAAATCCTGATGTGCTCGAGAAAGTGAAGGTAAACCTTGGCAGTTTCATACAAACATACAATCTTTCTTATTCAGACCGAGCAAGATGGCATTGCTAAATGCATTTCAGAAGGGGAAATGCTCAACCTTTCAGACATCAAAAGAATGCGCTACCTTTCTAGTGTCAGTGCTGGCCATTTTTCCTTGTTTTCATTCCTGATTTTGTCTCTTCTTTTCCCAGGTTGTCGACGAAACACTGCGACTTGCAAATATCTCGCCAATGGTCTTCAGAAGAGCCTTGGTAGATGTCGAGTTTAATGGTGAGTGTGCTTTTCATCTTTCAAGTGATTTTCTCACATTGCATTCCATGCATAGGCTTTACCATTCCCAAAGGGTGGCATGCGGAAGCGTGGCTAAGACAAGTACACATGGATCCACACGTCCACCCCGACCCGGAAAAATTCGATCCAGAGCGCTGGGAGGTACTAAATTCTCAAAGCCTTCCTCTGTAACTCTGGCTGGGGTTTTCCACTAGAAATATGGAGCATCTCCATTCACGTTCATACCCTTTGGGATGGGAAATCGAACTTGTCCTGGTAACGAGCTTGCCAAGCTTCAAATCTTCATTGTCGTCCATTACTTCGTTACTGGCTACAGGTGAAGATGTATTATTTGTGCGTCTTACTTTACATGGGCTTTGTAGGTGGACTGCCTTGAATCCCAACAGCAAAGTTTCTTACTTGCCACATCCAAGGCCACGAGACTTCTATTCGGTAAGAGTTTCAAAACTCCTGTAATTATAAAAGATCATACAAACACTTTTGAATTGTTGATTATTCCAAATAATTATGTTGGATTTAAATGCAATTGATCAAATTTGTTATTTAAATAATCAAGGTTATGAAACAAAACCAGTTTTATATTATTTTGGCATTTTTTAAAATCTGCTACAAATATCCAAACATGTTTGAATAATTATCGTAATTATAGTAGTATAGCATATAAACTATCTATTTAGAATTGTATTTTTTATATTTGATAATCATTGTTAAACTTGAAATTATAACATCAAATTTACCAAATTCATAATAAATATTTTAGGACAAACATTTCCCACCATGTTTATTAATTTAACAGAATAAAAAATATTTTATTATCTCAAGTCCATCTTAGACTCTTTCTTTAACTCCTTTTCAGACTCATTCTTGACACTTCTA